AGCCATGGGAAGGAGAAGATGCCTGCTCCAAGGGTGCCAGTGCTGGCAGCAAGATCACTGGATCTCTTCTATTCCAGGAGACATGGAGGTCTATTTGTGGTTGGAGCTACCTGACTAGCTAAAGTATAGATCAGTCTGCTATGAAAGTACCTCCCATGAAGAAGACTGCCTGATGGCTTAGTTTGCTCTGAATGTATCACGTTATCAGATAAGCCTTTTCATGAAATTAAAAACCCAAACCAATATTTTTCTGGTTTCTGGGTTTGGCTTGGAATTTTTTATCCCCTTCTTTGTCAATTCAGGTGGGCCATTATCTATTGCTAATTTTAATTGGAATTGTGGAAGCAGAATCCTGCAATAGAAAAACATTGGAATGTTTCCTTAAGCTTTAAAATAGGCAAGCTTGACTCAAATTTGAAGTAAGGGCAGTTTATGCATCTATAGCAGTATAAATAGCACTTTAAATAGGTTTAAATAAAATACACTCACATTTAAAGTTTCTTTCTGTTGTCAAAGTGGAGTAAAATATTTTTAATGTAAAAAATAGTGAAGCCCAACTTACCATACAAACAATGCACTTTAGCATAGGGATTTTCACCAGAAAAACTTTGCTGCTGAAAGGGACATTGCACTGTCTTTAAATTTAAATCAGTTCTGAAGCCAGTTAATTTACAGCACTGTAAATGAAGCTCATGGTGTGCAGCATAAGCTGTAAGCAAACATACAGCTTCAAAGCAAGAGTATAGGTAAAAGATAAAATCAACATCAACTGACTAAACACTCAAAGTTGCCCTGTCACCAAACCATCTCTAAATGACCCCATTTGGTAAGCCCTAGCAATCCTGTGATTAGGACAGGCTGTCGGTGTTTGTTTATATTCTGGTTATTTTAGTCCGGAATGCCTAACGGGAATCCACTTAGAATGTAGTCTAGTAGCCTGTATCTCCCTTCCCCCAGAAAGACCATTGGTCTGCTTTGAGTTTGAGGGTTTGTAGTATACAGATGAGCCTTTTGGAATCTAAAAATATGTATGATTATTTCCTTTTCCATCTTCATTTTACATCAAATTGTAAGAGTTTGGAGTTTTTTGAGGCTAAGCCTAGGACTAGTGTTTCTCTTAAATGACTGTTGAAAATTTTAACACACTCCTTGGTGTGCTTCCCGTGGACCTTATTGAAAAAATTGCTACAGGTGGGTACTATTTGTAGAGTTGTTCTTTGGCACATGTCAGACGTTTTACTTTTCAAAGTATGCTATGTGTGTATATTTTGCAAAGTGGAAGTATAATCAAATTAAATTCAGTGTAAAAGTCACTTTTAACAGAAATTCAGAACTGTGCGTAGGACTTAAAAACCAAATTCAATGCTGGGAATTTTTTTGGTTTTTTTTTTTTTGTTTTGTTTTATGGTACATGGATTTATTTTTTTTTTATAAAAAGACTGTAAAATCAATTACTTATTTCTCCATTTCAGTTTCAGGAATAGATTGAAGAAACCATGGCCAATCAACGGGATTACATTAGCAGACCTATTTGCAACGGAATTTCTGTTCCTGAAAATAAAATCAATTCCTTAGTGGCTGAAGGTCATGGACAACAAATTCTAAAAGTACTACAAAAGTTCAGAGAACAAAATACATTTTTTGACTTTAAAATTCTTGTGAAAGATGAAATAATTCCTTGTCATCGTTGTGTACTGGCAGCGTGCAGTGATTTTTTCAGGTAAACCTAATTTTTGCATGAGTTTGCAGGACATGGATTGTAAGTTCTCTGGGAGGGAGGGAGGGAGAGAGAGAAGGAGGGAAGGAATATAATTACATAAATTAAAAATAAGTCATCACAACTTACATACGTCTGCAGAGTTTTGAGCAAACTGTTCAAACATTGTATTAAGGATAGCAAAAAACCCAAACCAAAACTACAGTGTCAGATGCCTAACCATACCCCATATAACATCTGTTTGTATTTTCAAAATGACGTTAGGACTTTATGAATTTGAGATTCAGACAGCAGTCTATACTCTGAAATAGAAATGTCAAACTATAAGTGCATGGTTCTGCTGTTAGGTAGAATTGACGCAAGTTGTGAATCTTTCAGACTTATCTGTTGCCTGTATCTGTACTTGAAGGTCTGCAAGGGCATTTTTTGACTTTGTATGGGACAGTCTGTATATATATTTTGACACATTTATATTGTGAAACATTGAAGGTTGATTACAAATATATCTTGCATTGAGCAGTTGTGGATAAATGGTACATGGTCTTGGAATGGGGCTGGATTTTGTTTTTCTAAGATGAGTGGTCAGTATAGTAGAGTTTGTCTTCAGAGGTATTTAAACAGATATCTTATGTTTTTTCTAAACTACAGTTTTCAGCCCTTCAGCATGAAACGGATCTGTGATCTTCCTTCTGGTGCTTAAAGCTATGCATTCTTAAGGGACAGACAGATCATTCACATACAGGATATTAATTTATGAAGATCCTTGCTAACTTTTTTATTAGTAAGGCTCAAACTTGCAGTTCCACACTGAAAGTCTGTTTCCAAATACACTCTTTACTAAAACACAAAGGTAAGATGCTCTAATAATGAACAAATGGGCTCCTGGAAATGAGTTAATGAGCTTGATTCAGCTGCCTATACATAGGTGACAAGTGTTATTTTCAAATGGCCTGGAGCATCCCATGGTCTGTGGGAGTCTGCCATATATGATAGAGGACATAGGCTAGGTGTGTTCTTAGGACTGCTGAAAAAAGAAGAAATGCAGGTGAAATAAGCTATTTCTCCACTGTAGCAGCAGGTTTGTTTTTTCTCTGACACACAGAACTACTTGCATTTCAAGTGTTTACTGCTTAACAGCACAGAGATGCCGGGGTAGAAAGGAGTATTAGGATGAAATAGCTTCCAGTGGTAATTTTTAGAACTGAAGTTGAGCACATGGTAACATCTGTGGCCTTTTTACTACCTACAGGCTCTTCTGGTTAAAATTTGCCAGGAGAGACCTCTGCCTGCATGTAACAGTTGATAACAGCAGCCATCAAATTCGTAAGTTGTCCTGGAATACAGGCCCATTTATTACCTTCAGGGAATAAAAAGTACCTAGGTCCACTAGATAAATTTTAAAATGAAACACCATTTGTCTTCCTTGGCCTTTGGACATGTCTTAATTTTGGTTTCTCTGTGTAAAGCCAAGATTCAGCAACATTTTGCTCCCTACTTGTTAGCTTTCAGAATCAATGCCTTTGCTTAGATTGCTCTCCTTCTAATACTATTTTTCAGTTGCTGTTTTACTCTGTAATTTAGAGGTTTGTATCATAGGTCTTGGGTTAAAGAGGAAAGGATTCTAAGGATCATCATTTAATACGCAAAAAGGTTTTTGGGACTACATGTCTCACTGTAATTTTATGTTCTTGTTCAGGAGGTCAGACAAGTTCCTGCTTTACCTGATGTTCACTTCCCAAAGAGTATGCCATACACTGTGATTTTTTTTTTCTCTTTGACTTCATAAAAGTATGGGATTTTAAAATTCACATACGATACAGGTATCAATTGTATAACTAAGCTATGATACAATACTCTTCTTTTTAATAGGGACCAGCTGTTATATTAATAATCAGATTATATATTTAGTATTTGATGATTTATCTAAATCTTTCTGCGCTATCATCTTGTCAAATTTAGAAGCCATTGCTATCACAGCCTGATGCTTAGGCTCTGGGAGGGTAGAGCAAGTGATGCTGCAGCATTATTCTGTTGCCAGCACTTACCGGCTTGAAAAACTAATTATTTTACCTTGCCCTGTTAGATTGTGTGAAGTAGTTAAGTGTTACTATGTATTTAGTGAAAAAGTTTAATAAAATTTGCACAAATCTACCGATCGATAGTTTGTTCCACAATCTCAACCATCATTGTATTGTCACAATCTACTTTCTGCACACGTTTCATTGTGTCATGCAATCCTATGTCAAAATCTCTTTTTTTTCTGACATCTGCCTGTACCCATATATCTATCTGTCCAAGAATTAAGTTTCCTCATGTTTTTTTCTCCTCTTTCACCCCTCACCTACTTTTATTTCTGAGGAATGCACCCATCATCCATCCTGCCATTTGCTCAGCCTGCAATTTAGGTCTTTTTTTGCTTAATTTTCTGTGTTCATCCACAGTGCATGACCTAAATCATGGGGCTTTTTTACTATATATTTTTTAAATCAGCCTTTCTTTCTCAAGCTGTTGAAATCGATGCTGGTCCGAACAATTTCACATTTTCTCTCACATTGAGAGCTGCAGGCTTCATTGCTCTCTGTGAAAACCCATACAAAGCATTTTTATGACCCATCGCTTTGAATATGTTCTTATCACCACACCTTTCTTCTTCAACCGTATCAAGCACATGCATTGTTCTTTAGACATGAGAATGTCCACATTTTAGACCTATACAGCCTGCCCACCTTATTGTATGTCCCGGATTTGTCTCCTTCCTCTCACATCAAGAGTTCTCTGCTGTTTGCTAGATCTTTAATTTGCTTGTTTATCTTCTATATTTTATTCACAGAGCCATGTTTGAAGTTAATATGAAGGAACGAGATGATGGCAATGTCACTATTAGTAATCTATCACCCAAGGCGGTGAAAGCTTTTCTTGATTACGCTTATACAGGAAAAACAGAGATAACAAATGATAATGTGGAAATGCTTTTCCAACTGTCGTCATTTCTTCAAGTTTCACTCCTTTCCAAAGCTTGCAGTGACTTTCTAATAAAAAGTATTGATCTTGTGAATTGCTTACAGTTGCTTTCTCTATCAGAAAGTTATGGTTCCATCCGTTTATTTGATCATGCGCTAGATTTTGTACAGCACCACTTTTCCTTGCTGCTCAGATCAAGTGATTTTTTGGAGATGAATTTTGAGATATTACAAAAATGCCTTGAGGCTGACGAACTAAATGTCCCTGAGGAAGAATCAGTGTTGAAAGCTGTCCTTCAATGGACCAAACACAACTTAGAAACACGACAGAAATATCTGCCTCATTTGATTAAGAAAGTGAGACTACACCAGTTACCTGAAAAGACTTTGCAGGACTTTCTGCATTCTGAAGAACACTTGCTTAAGAGTGCTAATTGCTCAGTAATAATCAATGATGCAGTTGAAAGTGTGCAAAACTTTAGTGGCCTGTTTCCAGATGCACGTCCTTCAACAACAGAAAAATATATATTTGTTCATAAAACTGATGAAGATGGAGAAAACAGACATACATTCTGCTACAACATCAAAACAGATAAATGGAAAGAACTACCACATACACACATGATTGATCTTCCAGGGTCAAGTTTATCTAGCTATGGAGAAAAAATATTTATAACTGGAGGATGCAAAGGGAATTGTTATAGGACTGTCAGGCTTCATATTGCTGAACCATTTCATGATGCCACTGACCAAACCTGGTGCTACTGTCCAGTCAGCAATGAATTCTCCATAGTGTCAGCTATGAAAAAGCCAAGGACAATGCACACATCTGTTGTAACCTTGAATCAGCTGTTTGTAATAGGTGGAAAGACCAGAGGAGCTCAAGAAACCCGAAGTCTTTTGGATGTAGAATCCTATAATCCTCTTTCCAAAGATTGGAAATCTGTAAGCCAATTACCAAGAGGTATCTACTATCCAGAAGCAAGCGCATGTCAGAATATAATTTATGTCCTTGGCTCAGAAGTAGAGATTACTGATGCCTTTAATCCATCTCTTGACTGTTTCTTTAAGTATAATGCTATGACTGACCAGTGGTCTGAGCTTGTAGCAGAATTTGGGCAATTTTTCCATGCAACTCTAATCAAAGCTGTTCCAGTAAACTGTACATTGTACATATGTGATCTCTCCACCTACAAGGTCTACAGTTTTTGCCCAGAAACTTGTGTTTGGAAAGGGGAAGGATCTTTTGAATGCGCTGGCTTTAATGCAGGGGCAGTTGGGACAGAAGACAAAATTTATATATTAGGTGGTGATTACGCTCCAGAAGAAATCACAGATGAAGTTCAAGTCTACCACAGCAGTAGGTCTGAGTGGGAAGAAGTTTCACCAATGCCAAGAGCCTTAACTGAGTTTTACTGTCAGGTCATTCAGTTTAATAAATATAGGGACCCCTGGTCATCTGTACTGACAATTTGCTCTGGAGAATTTTGAAACTCCCGAGTCAAAAGAATCTATTTAAATGCACAAATTTTAGAACAGATTTTTAGGTATTAATTTACAGATGGAAAAATATATACTGTTTTGTTTAAACCTTCAGTTTAAATTGTATGCTATGGAATTGCTTTTGGAAGAGTCCATTGAATTGTCATTCATGCTAGTCATTATATAGAAAGTATTACTTAATTTTATATGCAAGTCTTCTCTGTAATTATCTGAATAATTTGCAAAATTATATTACTTTTCAAGAAAGCACAGTCACGAGGAATTCATTGTGTAATATGTGCCATTATTTCTGTAATATTCGGAGTTGTCCCAGTAGACAAATTCCTGAGTGAGAAAACTGACTGTGATACTGTTTTCCCTATGTAACTGAAGTTTAAAAGAAATCTACATTAGTGTTGTTTTGTTTAGGATTTTTATATTCATAAACCTGTAAGAGGAATTTCTTGTCAGCTTGATCTTATTAGAATGACCTTAGCAAGGGCAAGAGCCAAAGTGACCTTCACAGCATTAAAACCAGGTATCTAACTTGAAGAGACTGATGATTCCTATCATCCTACTTCAGCTCTTCAGTTTTACCAATTTTTCCTCCATCCTCGTGCCTTAGTAGTAGCTGTACTTTCTGTTTTCATCCCATTAACTGTGGCAAGATATACTTCAATAATGTATTGCAGGGTGGGCAAGATTTCTACAGGATGGATGACTCACATGGTATCTTTGCTTCAGTCATGCTGTTAACTAAAGAAAAAACACTTCAGGATGTTTTCTAACAGAAGTCTTCCATCTCTGAAGTCTCCAGTGCTACCTACTAAGCAGCCAGCTACTAGGCTGCTTACAGCAGCAAGCTGCAAAATAAATTTTAGTTGTTGCTTCGGTTAACTACGGGAAAAGTTGGTATCTTGTCATATATCAAAAGAAGCAAAGCTACAAAAATAAATCCCCATATTTAAAGTCAAAGTAAATAGTATTTCTGAGGTGAAAGAATTCCTTATTTTAACTTCTATAGTGGTTTAAATTAATTAAAACACTTTATCTTGTACTTCATGGTAATTTTAAGTGTTAAAATATTACACGGTAAATGTTACAGAATATATTGCTTGATAAACTTTCAGTAGTCATCTATTATAATGTTAAAATTGTAACGGACTTCTAGTATTAGTATTAGTCTAGGCATACATTGTGAAGTAAATTTGATCTCATGCATACAAAGTGGGACCTGTGTCTGACAGGACACCGAAATTAGCTAGGTTTCATACATTCATTTGTAATCTTTCACAGCCTGAGAATTTTCTTTCTTACCAGCTATTTGCATAAGATATTGGGAGCCCTTATGTTCCATATAAGTATCATTTAAGTAGCAAGGTTGTCTTATGCCAGGCAGAATGGTTCTAAATATCTAAGTACATCTTTTCCAAGTAGTTTAAAAATGAACAGAATTTAGTGAGGCATCTAAAACGTCTTTCATATGGCTTGAGATGACCGCGGTAAGTTCATTATCACATCACTACTGCATGTACTTTTTGCAAAACTCAAGCTCAATATTAATGCTTAAAGCTTAATATTGCCTAGCAACATACTTCTGTTAAAAAAGAGAAACAGTGGAAAGTTCCGATTCTGTGACCGACTCTATAATGTGTTATCAGATACCTTTATAAATTTAGGTACCATTCATAATTATTTTCATATGTAAATGAAAATTATGCACATTTGAAGAACATTGATTAATAGAGTGGAACCCTCCCCACTCAATAATTTATTTGTATTAAGATGTGTGTCAGTTCTGTAGAAGTAAATAGCTTGTTGTTATTCAGTATTTCAGGCAATTTCCACATTTATTTTGCTCATAGTGAGTCTCCAAATCATATTGTAAGTACACGTAGCTACACAATCACCATACTGAAATGCAAGCATTTTTATATTTGAGCACAACTACTTTTTGCTAGTGCAAAGCGAATTAAATATTTTAAAAGCGATGGAGAATACTATTCCTGCTTACTGAAACGGTAGGAGAAAAATAAATAAGACATCTAGGAGAACAGTAGTTTTAGCATTAATAAGGCTACTCGTGGAGACTTCATTAATTGTTAATTATTGCAACTCGTCACTTCATCAGAAATACAAGGCCCGATTCTCTGCTTGTTTTTGTGTTGTTTTTATACCTGAGTAATAGGAGTATGCAATTTATGCAATGAGAAAAGTAACATATTATGCCCATAGTACATGGGTATAAAAGCTATGCAAATTGGAAGAGATGAGAGAATTGCAAGGTTTTTTTAATTGCCACTGTCATGACCAAATTGCTGGGTCACATAAACAGCAAGTGAGCCAGTCATTCAGGTGATGCTCTTTCCAGTTAACTTTTTCCTTACAGCAAGTTTTTTTGGGCAGTTTTCCATCCATCTAGTTGCTATATGTACAAGCCTCTGGCACATGACATCAGATAGAGCAATGACATATGTGGTAAATTACTCAGTATATATAGTGAAAACTGAAGCTTAATTTGGAAAATAGACATGCTTCTTTAATAGTGTATGCTACATTTGCACAGGAACTACTGTCAGTTCCCAGTTTGACAAATCATTCATGGATTTCAAATGGAGTTGAGCTCTCTTATGATCAGGAAATGATGTAGTAGTGTCAGTTACTTTATACTATTACTTTCAGAAAAGTTACTGTGAAATAGTGTGATTTTTTTTTTTAGTTATGTAGGTAAGCCTGTATTACAACTCTCACAGAAGAAAAAAAGGCTGTTTGCCACAATTCCACATACAGAGTTAAATCTGATAGCAGAATTGAGTGCAGAAGCAGCTGTGTTAGAAAGTCATGGCTAAACCCAAGGCTTTATGATAGTATTAAGGGCCTATGCTCCAAATCCTGTAATTAATCGCTAATGAGGTAAGAAATCTCAGTGAAGTCAACTATGCTACTTGGAAGAATATGGATTACTTGCATGTAACTGCTGTAGGTCTGGATCAAACAGATTTTTCAGTCTACTTTACGCAGCTGTTAGGCAATTTAAAAAAAAGTCACAAAATTAATGCAAAGCAAGTTTTTCCTACATATTTTCTGACTTTTCAAAGCTTACAGTACTTTATGAAAAAGTACCTTCCTCTAAAAATAGTCAGTGACTAGATTCATGATTACCTCTGTTCTCACTGAAATACAGTAAGATGTTTAAAACATACAAATTGCATGTAAAGTTATAATCTACTATTTGCACTTAAACGATGTAACCAAAACATTTCTAATAGTATTCTATTCTATGTCACAGAACACATTGTAAGCATGACCAGTATAATATACACAAAGATAATATATATTGTATGTGGGATTTTAATATCCAGTAATGATTATATTGGAGAATCTTAATTTTTAAAGAATGCTATCAAAACATTATGGCACTTTGGTAATGTTATCATACTGGTTTAGTTGTTATAATAAATATCAATTATTCAGGTGTTTATATTGATTGCGTTTGCACAGACCTGATGATTATTCTATTATTTATGTACTAATGAATTTATTTTCTGTATTCTAAATACATTTGTAGTAAGTCAGTTTACTGCTGTTAAAAATTCATTATTTTCACATAATGGAGTAGATTTACTGGGTCAGATTTATTTCTGCTATTGCTCCATGACGAAAGCTGTATACCTCCTCTGATTAGTAGTAGGTAGTAGGTAAGGTGTAGGCTGTATAGAATGTGCTGTCTGCAGTTCGTAACGTGGAGTCTAATTTTAAATGTTTCTGTTTGTAGGTGACCAACAGGAGGCAGCGTAAGATCTATTTTAATTAAACAGACTGAAACCAGGGATATATTTGATAATATTTATAGCTGAACATTACGCTCAATTTACTTTTTTTCCCTTATAACATCCAATAAAGCATAGCGATCAATAACATCTTGCTGCTGCCTGGGCTCTGCTGATACGTGGAAAGTATGATACTACATGTTTGCCGAGATGTTCATTCTTTTGTGAAATAAAAGCACCGAGCAACTGAGTCCTTCTCAGGTCTGATTTTTTTCAGTGAGTTTCAAACTACAGAGAAACTACAATGTTTCTAATGAGGTTAACTACTTTGTTCTTTCTTTTTTTAACCGGAGAACATTTTGAATGTTAGATTATAACCAAGAATGCAGTTAGTACGCATGAAAGCTGCAGTGAGAGGGGTTATTTTAATTATCCTTGTATTTGTTTGTCCATTGTAGATCAATTTGCTGCTCCCATGCTAAATTTGATTTAGTCTACTGAAAAGCTATAAATTCACCGTTGTAAAGCACTCATTTACATTGGTATCTTTTTCTATTGGATCCATCTAGCTCAGATTGATATACAGGGTTTTTTAACAGCTTTAGCATTGCAAATGATTAGATATTTATTTTGACTGAAATGGGCTTCCATACTACATAGAAGCAGCTTTAAATAAAAGGAAATACAAGCTACTTAGTCTAAAATTCGTGTGCAAAGGGCACGGAAATGGCATTAATACAGAGTGAGGGAGTCCTGTGTTGTCTTGTATTCATCCAGAATTTAAAATTCTGTGACCTTCAAACCTCTGTATAGATAAAATAGAGTCACAGCAATAAAAATGAACCTTCCAACACCCCAGGGCGTTTGCCCCACAGCTAGTAAAAGCAATTTGGAGATGTGTACACTGTGTTCCAACGGCGGTCACAATGTTAAAGGCTTGCATTGAACAATGAAGGGATTCACAGACCAAATTCGAGAGCTGTAGTTGTGTAACCCTGTGCACAATCAGAGAGTTGCATACTTACATTCTACAGATGCAGGGAATTCACTGTAGACTTGCAGAGTTTGTGTCTAAAGTAGGCCGTATGGTGAGGCTTTTCTTACTGTGATCAAAAGCAAGGAAGCAGAGTCTGGATTTAATGAATAAATTACACATAAATTAGACATAATTATTAGACATCAATTACAGGTAAATCAAAGACAGTTCACATGAACAAAGGAGGTCCAAGGATTTTTGTTGGAGGAAGCTGGTATATACCCAGATTTTTCATCTGTGATCAACAGCCTCTGTAACAGTGGAATAACAATAGGGAGAGAAAGTAGAGCTATTGACAATTGTATGCACAGTTACCCTAGAAAATCATATGCTTCCGAGTTCAAATTATTCTAATGGACTGGACACTAATCATATTTAGTGGGTTGTGCTTCACAATAGAAGAAGGATACTCAACAAGGTATAATTAACACTAATTATTTTTGCAGACTGGCAGAGGTTCAGACTGTTAATGACTTTCACTCTCTGTCATTTTTCCACTGACTTGCACCTGAATCTAGCTTGAACTAGCTTGCAAGACCTTTAGGGCACACTCGCATCTTATTTCTGAGCACCGTCAAAATACCTGTAATAACGTAAACTGAAGCCTAGTTGTCGTGGTTTAAAACCCCAGCCGGCAACTCAGCCCCACAGAGCCACTTGCTCACTCCCCCCCTGCTGGGATGAGGAAGAGAATCAGAGAAGTGAGAAAGCTCATGGGTTGAGATAAAGACAGTTTAATAGGGAAAGCAAAAGCCGCACGCGTAAGCAAAAACAACCAAGGAATTCATTCAGTACTTCCCATGGGCAGGCAGGTGCTCAGCCATCCCCAGGAAAGCAGGGCTCCATCACACGTAATGATGACTTGTGAAGACAAACGCCATCGCTCCGAACGCCTCCCCCTTCCTTCTTTTTCCCCCAGCTTTTATTGCTGAGCATGACGCCATATGGTCTGGAATAGCCCTTGGGCCAGTTGGGGTCAGCTGTCCTGGCTGTGCCCTCTTCCAGCTTCTTGTGCCCCTGGCAGAGCAGGGGAAGCTGAAAAGTCCTTGACTGGTGTAAGCCCTGCTCAGCAACAACTGAAACATCAGGGTGTTATCAACATTATCCTCATACTAAATCCAAACCACAACACTATGCCAGCTATTGGGAAGAAAATCAACCCCAGCCCAGCCACAATGAGGACACTAGATCATACATAGGCCTTAGTAGGAAATGCCTCTGTATAATAAATATATTGCCAGTGATGTGTTACGGTCTTGCTATCCTGCTCCTTAGTATTTCCCTGTTTAAATTTTTATGCTATTCAGTACACAATGGGCAAGTATGGCAGCTAAACTATCATTACCTATGAGCAAGCTGAGAAATTCATAGCCTTTGCATGTTTGGTTTCTATAAATATTTTCAGGAAGTTCACTGCCAGAATTACTGACTGAAACTGGAAAATACCATTTTAAAGGAGCTTTGTAGTTTTATCATCACAGCTATGATCACTAGAAGCTGTGTTAATCAAATGACCTACCTGTCCAGTGAAAACACTTAAGTGCAAAGACTGAATACAGCCCAGAACTTGGATTTAATTTAGCAAGTAATTGTTAATAAATACACAAAATAACACGCGTGTGCGTTAGGCTAGGCAGAAGATAGACTAGCAAGCTTCAGAAAGCAAGCATTTTGAATTACCCGCTTGCAAGTGGTGCCTTAAGCTGCAGGAAGGTTACACTACCAAGGGAATGGGAGTAAAACCAGCAAGTGCCAGACACTTCCACACGTGGCTGAGGAAACAGGAAGAGCCCAAAACCAGAAAGCCCCACAAAAAGTGTTTTGCCACATGTGCTTGCTTACATTAACATCACAGGGGCTTACATAAGCAGCGCCTTCCAAAAGGTAATTATTTTTCTATTACAGTATCCCCACAAATTTTATTTCACTGTTTTAATCACAAAACCCGCAATATACTCGAGCCACACCGCT